TGCCGAGGCAGGAACTTGGGGAGTCCTTTTTGGAACGACGGGTTCACGGTAGTTCCCTCCCACCTTTGTCCAAAGATTCCCGAAGAAAAATGACACGGGTATATGGGTAGTTACTGGAGTGTAAAGAGAAAAATCGGCGATCACCAGAAATTTATATAGTCGATGGGCTTTAGAAAGACAAGTCGCTCGGTAACCTGTGGCAGCAGCTCAGGGTAGGGCAAGAAGGCTCGTCAAGGAATTCCTGAAATCGACATTAAAGATCAACGAGATCCAGAACAATGTTTGCTTGGTAACTTGAGCAGAAACCTGAAGTAGAGCAAGAGATTTTGCTGAGAATCCTGAGATCAAGATTTTGGAGCACTGGTGAATTATCGGGACGACAATTTTAAAGAAGAGGGTAGACAGTTGTTACGACCATGTATTATGTTTCCGTGCTGCGATGTTATGCCGCTTGTCGCGGTAAAATTGAAGATGATCTCCTCAGCTGTTGAGTCGTTCGAGCGCGTTACTGACAGCTTCGTTCTTTTAAAATGTTCCTCACAGTTTTTCGTATTATCTTATCTAATAATAAAGTTTCTTAAGTGTTTTTTAAGTAAATGTTTTCCTTTCTAAAAGTGTTTGTGGTGTTGCACGATTTCGATTAATTGATATCGATTTGCGAATGTAACAATACATATACACACACACGAAACGTGTTTACTATTTGATATTGCCATATTAAAAATATACAACATATCACAGTCAGCATTCTGCAAAAATATCACATAGATTATTAAAGAAAAGCGAAATTTGAGAGAGAGAGAGTGAGGAGGGGGGGAGAGGGGGGCGGCGGGAAAGACAGAATTATGCATAAATAAAATATATCATAAAATAAAAAGAGCAATGTTTACAATTATTTCATTAAAATGATTTTAGCGTTCGCCATATGCAGCACATTTTTTGCTATTTTGCTACCAATTTGGCCACAGATCCTCGGTACTGTTTTGCACATAAACGAGTCTCGAATACAGAGTCAGGCAATACATATCACGACTGAATATTTTGTCGATCAAAATAAATATTTCTATTTGATTTTACTGCATACAAACACAGTTATTTGTATTGGAGCAACTACGTTGACAGCAACGGGAACAATGCTCATAGGATGCGCCATACACGCCTGTGGATTGTTTAGAATTGCGAGGTGAAAAAATGAATTTAGAAATGAACACAATGTATATGATTGCAAACAAAATCTTCAATTGTTTGTTTGTTTTAATTTGTCAATACACTTTTGGGAAAACTACATATTTACAGCAGATAAATTAATCATAGTTATCGTATGGAGCAAATAATGACGACCAAAATGTTTAAAAATGTTAACCTGAAGGATAGGGCTATGATTTATAACAAAAAAATATTTTATGCAATCGAAATACATTGCAAGGCTATAAAGTTGGTATGCATGCGATAACAATTATATAGTGATTATTGTAATTGCATTCTATTTTTCTTAAAGGTTTTGTGAATTTTTATCGTCTACTTTTAAAGGCTCTTTCTTCTTATTAATAATAATTTGTGTAATATCTTTAAGCCTGAATATTTATGGAGTAAGTTTTCTCGAGTTCTTAAAACTTAATGTGTTGAGCAACAGACATACATATGTATCATTTCGTAATAAGCAAAATTCAAAAAATTCGTAAATGACAAAAATTAAATCAGAAAACAATAAAAATGATTGATGATACAAATATCAAATAATGCTAACTATAAAATTATAAATTAAAAAAATCTTAGCATATGAATTGTTTCTTCGTATTTTTAGCTTTTTCTTTCTCTATCATTATTATATTCAATGTAAACTAAGTAATTGTAATGATATGAAAAATATGAAAAATGATAATTACAATAATGATGTGTTTTAGATTTTTCAAAATATATCGCTTGGAGATAAAGAAGCATTTTTATTACACCTGTTACTTGCATCTATCATTCTTTTATATATGTTTGTACTTAACTATGTCGGGCAAGAAATTACAAATTACAACAATTACGTATACTTCACAGCGTAAGATATAGATACATTGTTTATGCAATTGTGTGTGCACATATAATATATATAATATATTCTACATATGTCTTTTATTATTAATTAATCAATATTTATCAGGTAATGATTATTTCATAGGTACAATAGTCGGTGGTATAATGCCCCATTACAGGCACAGAAGCTGATACTCTTTATATTGTTAAAAGGTAGCCGAACTTACAATCTCAATATCGGCGGAGTGATTGTGGCATCTTTGGAGTGTTTCGCTACGGTAAAAATTATAAATTATAGTACGGATTTAGAGAGAAAGAGTGATTCACATTAATATTATAATAGAAAACATATCTTTTTGCAGCTAACAAAAACATCAATGTCCTACTTCACCGTTATGTATTCTATGGAGGAGTAATGCGCAGATATATTATCTATACATACATATTGTTTATGATTTAGTTTTCGCGTTTGAAAGAATAAAATATATAATATCAACAAATGTTGAAAAACGAATTAATATATCACCATAATGATACTGATTTTGTTTCCAGATTGTTGCACTGCTTATGAAATAATAAAGTCAAGAATTCACGATCATTTCGTTTCCGAAAATAGACATCTATTTAATTATTATATTAAGTATATTATGTTAAGTATATTCATATATAATACGTCATATATGTCTCGAGAAACCATGCAACATACATGCACACACACATATAACGAATGAAATTTTATAATATATAGTTGGCCTCAAATGTATTCGGAATTAGCATTTGCATATTTAAACAAATATAGTCCATGATATCTTATATAATACTGTCGAGAAGATAGTTTCTCTTGTAGCTAATTGCCAACACACGTGAGACTTGTCGTGATGTACGTCTCTAAAGTCAAGTGTTCGTTACGAGCGTAAACACGAGAATGAAGCATGTTAACTATGCTACTGGAAAAAAGGCGATTGCGCTTGCACCGACTTCGATCGCAAAGCTATCTGACAATGAGTATTTGCATGTGTAAAATACGCATTTATTAAATTCCTCCTACGTGACATCGATCGCTTAATCGCTTCTTCTCACAAAATAGTTAAATTACTGAAACTTTATTCCCATAATATTTTATGTTATTTGGTACTTACTTTGAATTAAATTATTTATGAAAAAATCAAAATTTATTCAATTTCAGATAATCTTATTTTTTGGTATTTTGATAAATTTTGTTATATTCCAGGTACGTCTCCATATTTTCAATCGTGTTAATATAGAATACGCACATCTCATTACTAATTTAGTAAACGCTTACTTTTATCAAAATTTTTAATTGTGATCAAATTTTATATTTAATTATTGATAATAGAATACATTTCAATTGCAATAGATAAATATTAAAATTTCAATACGTTGATAATATTTATTATTTATTACAAAACAGATAATTGTTTTTATCTCTTAATAAAATGTAAAATGATGTTTTCCTAATGCACCATTTTCAATTAATCGATTGGTTGAAGCTTCTAGCAGTTATAACTACAAAATGCACTGTTGATTTTTTCATCAAAGTTTTCTCTACTGCAATAGTCTTTAATTTCTATGTATTACATACAACATGTTTTGGATTAACACTCATCATGTAAGTCAATTGTTTACCGTCTTTATTGTTTACCGCACAAATAAATAATTTTAATAATATCTCCCAAAAATTAAATTTTTATATATGATAATCTTTTAAAATTTTTTCAAAATGTTAAATATTGCTGTAATGGCAGGTGAGAAATTTGTTGGAGCAACTACAGTATATCTGTGATGAACTAAGAAACGAAGATGAACTTGCTATCATTAAAAAATTTGGACATTATACAAGACAATGTACTGCTATATTTATATGTAAGAAAATCTCTTATCATTTACTATATATCATGGAATTGAGCAGATTTTAATCGTGAGAAAAATTAAATATTTAGGTTAGTGATTAAATGTATTTTGACTATAACTCAAATATTATACCTTTCCATCAGAATAATAAATATTCTTTTTTAAATATAGAGAAAAGTAGGTTCAAATCAGGTACCCATTTGAAAATATACAAAACATCGTGTAATTACAAAATCTAGATTTATTATAATCAAAATCAATATAAAGATGTATTCTAATGACAATAATCATAAATAAAAATATCTTCTTGTTCGACATTGGTGCAGGACTTCCTTATTTAACTTTTTAACTTTAGGGATCTCAAAAAGCTTTTTTTTTTAGTGATTTCTTTTTCTGAACGTTAGTTTTTGTTTTCAACTGCTTTTTGTAGAGACACAAAGTCAGGATAACAGTTCTCCCTCTTTTCATTATATGACATGTGTAAGTATCCGGTTTTGCCCCACCACAAAGAAAGTAACAAATACGGTGGTTGTATATTTCGGCGTACAAAATGCCGATCAAAACTAATGATATACTCTCTAATATGTACAAAATGCAATGCCACACTTACCAAAACAGATGCTCTATATAGAAAAAGTGCACGATGATTCGATTCTTACCTCGATATCGATCTTTGAAAGGTTAAAAACTTTGAACTTTTATTGAAAAAGAAATATCATGTGCATAAGGGCTCGGTTTGTTCTAAAATAATGATGGCGCCAATCTACAACTAATAACACAAGTTAGCCATAGATAGCAGTACTTATTACAAAAAAACAGGGGGACCCGGTTTGATCCGCGTACCCGGTTTTACCCAACTTTCCCCTACATGGTCCGAAAACTACGTTCCATTCGTTAAACTTATTTTTATAATAACCTTTTTAATAAACAACAAACAACAATAAACTAAAATCTGTTGAAAGTTATTCAGGGCCGTGTCCTTGATAATATATATCAAGGTCACTAAAATCTGTGAGGTCGGTCTTATGCATAATTACCAAAATTGATAATGTCAATATCAAATTGTGCTAATTATAAATTCAAATAATTTTAAGAATCAGAGATATCTTAACATACAAACTTTTGGGCTTCACCTTTATAATTTTTAATACCATAATTATGATTATCATGAGTAATCTTTAAACACATAAGAAATATGATAAACGCAACCATGATTTTAGGTTTTTCGTAATGCATTGCTTGGAAATAAGTAAGCATTTTTATTACACCTGTTATTTGTATTTGTCATGTATTTAAATGTTTCTATTTAATTATGCCGGTCAAGAGATTACAAATTACAGTAATCATGTATATTTTACGCATAAGAAACAATTTTATGTGTTGTTTATATATCAATGTCCTATTTTACCTTTATGTATTCTACTCAGCAATGATGTGAAGATACACTATTTAGTATACGTTAGTATATAGATACATATTTTCTTTGTTAGTAGTTTATCATTATACGTGTCATATTATTTTGTAGATACAATGTTCAATAGTATATGGCAGCATTACATGCACAGAAAATGATACTCTTTATTTTGCAAAATGGCAGCAAAACTTTCGACGTAAATATTGCCGGATTGTTTGTAATATCGTTACAGTTTCGCCACGGTAAGAATAACATGTGCTATTAATTGTGATATTTATAGCTTAACATTATCGTTATCACAAAATCGTTATCTTTTAAAAATTGTTTAAACAATAATTTTTTAACAAATAAAAAAGAAATGTTTTTAGTGCGATTAAGCATTTTTAACCTCGTGTATTGAATCTATGATTAAAATTTTTATTGTTTGCAACAATTTTGCAATTGGACTGCATGGGGAAATTGTTCCACTTGACACAATTGCGACTATACTTAAAAACAAAACGCGCCTGAGGTTCGATGGTATCTGCGGTAAAAGATTCGATATTTTTATATTAAATACAATGTTCAAGCTTTTATTCGAGCCCTGTCTGAAGTCTCTTGCACACCCGGTTTGTCTGCTACGAATTTTCAGAAATGGTAAAAAACGCGTTTTTTAGAAGTTTCAACCCCATTTTTCTCAAAAATCTGATGTAATAGGCCATTTTGCCTTGCAGATTCAGCGCACAAAAAACTATAAGAAATTATTCATTTTTTTCCGACCGCAGAAAAAATATGAAATCATGCAGACCTGTGTAATTGATGTGAATTCTTTGAGCCTGAACATTTTTGAAGTAAGTTTTTTCTTGAATTCTTAAAACTTATCATGTTGAACATATATGCTATTTCATAGAAACCAAAATTCAAAAAATTCTTAGATGACAAAAATTTAATTAGATAGCAATAAAAATAACTGATAAAACAAATGTCAAATAGTGCTAATTATAAAATTATAAATTTAAGAAAAGATTTTAGTATGTGAATTATTTCTTTGTATTTTTCAATTTACTATTTTTTTCTAACAATATTATATTTCATGCAAACTATATAATCGCACATATAAAAAATGGTAACTATAATAATGATGTTTTACATTTTTTGAAATGCATCGCTTGGAGATAATGAAGCATTTCTTATTACACCTGATATTTGTATCTGTCATCCTTTCATATATGTTTGTAATTAATTATGCCGGGCAAGAAATTACAAATCATAACAATCAAGTATACTCCACAGCGAAAGATATAGATACATTGTATTCCCCCACAGTTGTTTGTGTTAATATAGGGTAGTCCATTTAAAGTGTTACAGGTGAATAACTTCGAAACTATTAATAATACAAAAATATGTTCTAGACAAAAATTGCTTAGATGGATAAAAGACATATGACAACGCAATCAGAGTTATGCAATTTAAAATTATTTTCAAGATAATTTCAAAGTCAACTCAATTTTTTTTAATGAAATGGTATACTTTTATTGTAAGCATCATCAAGAACTTCTCAAGAAAATTTCAACAACCTTAAATAATGTATTATTTAATTAATTTCATGGAGTTAGAGAGACTAAAGCGCGAAGAAAGTATACAAAAGACCAAACTCTCGAATGTTGCAAAAAAAGAAAACAGCATACAATATTGTTAACATGATAGTTACGGAGTTCATTTAATCAATTTCAAGATGTGTATAATGAGATAATAGAGAAAAATGAAATCGCGATTATAGAAAAGTACGGAAACAAAGCAAAATAGCGTATTACAATTAGACTTATATGTAAGATAATATTTCTTGATTTTTTTTCTATATTCTAATATATTTTTACATTCAAATAAATAAATCGCATATATAAAAAAACTTTAAAAAATTAAAAAAAATAATTTACCTATTGAGAGTTGTAAAGAAATAATTCGTAAGTAAAAGTAAACTAAAATTTGTAAAGTGAAATTAAAATTAGTGAACAACAAATCCGCACAAATAAAAAGAACAAAATGGCTTTCTCTAATCTTACATGAGTTAAAAACTTACAAAATTAGTTGCATGTGCTTATGTTCTATTACAAATATAAATTGTATCTCTCTACGCAACATATGTGCACACTCCTTAGAAAATTATGCAAAATCTTGCAATTATATAAGCTATACAATAAATAGCGACACATTAACAAATATAAGTTTGGTAAATGTTCAGATTAACTTACACCTCACGGATTGTTTTCATTTTTACATATATTATAAAGGGCACATTCCTAAGTAACACGCACTTTGAATTTTGTGGCGCTCTCTTCTGGTTTCAGAGATATGCGAATTTGAAGTATTATAATTTACGCATTTATTTCTATGATCTTTTCACTATATCTTACTTGCATGTTTATGTTTTTTTGTTTAAATTTGCGTCACTGTCAGTATATATTCGCTAAGAATTTATTTTGTTTACATTTAGAGTTGTTTTTACGTTACTGCTAGTACGCTTCAGAATCGTACACTCGTTCAGTTTCGCTAGAAATTTCAAAAGAAATACAGCAATAAAGATTTACGAATTTTTTTCCATTACTGCAGATAAAAATATTGCTTCTTCACGCAAAGCGAGGTTCAATGCAAAACTATGTATCTAGTTTTTCGATAGTGTAGACCCCCCGCAGGGGGGAGGGGGCGGAACATACTGTCTCCATGCATATATTTTTTAATGCAAAGTAAGGTTTCACATGGGTTTACAACTTTCCACTTTATATTTACGCACTAAAAAGTATATGCGTGGAGACAGTATGTTCCGCCCCCTCCTGCGGGGGAGCTCCACTATTAAAAAACTAGACACATAGGTTTGCGTTGAACCACGCTTCGCGTGGAAAATGGAAAAATTCAAGGAGCTTCGTTTCCAAAAATATAAACAAACACTTTTTCAACGTCTGCTTTACACAAATACAACGTAAACAAACATTATTTTTCCTTATTTTATAACAGAAAAAGCATTAAATCTGTGAAACTTTAAAATTGCATATCTCTGGAACCAGAAGTGCGTGTTACTTAAGAATGTGCCCTCTATAATATATGTAAAAATGAAAACGATCCCTGAGGTGTAAGTTAATGTAAACATTTACCAATTTTATATATGTTGCTTAATTATTTAAAGTTTAAAAGAGAAAGTATTCTGTTTTTCTTGTTTTCGTTATTCAATACACTTGGTTCCGTATTAACATTAAAATTGTAAGTAAACCATACATTGCATATCATATTTTTGTGATAAATCTTCTCAACGAGTGTGTGTATTACTATCTTTAAAACGTTCTTTAGTGATTGTCATAATCTTTGTACCCGTTCTAATTTTGTATCCATTCTGGCCGCACATTCTCGACATCTTATTATCTACAAACGAGTCTCTATCACGTCCTCCGCTGAGCGGAATGTTTGTTACCGAGTATTTCGTCGATCAGAAAAAATACTTCTATTTGATTTTGTTGCACGGAAACGCTGCTCTATTCGTAGGACTAGTCACAGTATTAGCGACAGGAACCTTATTGATAGCCTATCAACAGTATGCCTGCGGAATGTTTCGAATTGCCAGGTAAGAAGATAATATACGGAAACGATGAATCTGAAAATTTAAAAATTTAAAAATTTAGGAGGATTATACAGGGTGTTTCACAACTTTTGTACAATACTTTATTAGCCTGTTTTAAAAGTAAAATAGAGTCAAAAATTCTAATATAAAAATTTTGAGGCTGCAATAGTTTCTGAGTTATAAGCGATCAAAGTTTGCCAATGATATCGCGTAGAACTCGCGCATTCAGAACCGTAACTACACTTATACGCGTACCAATCTGTCATCTGTGAATTATTTTTTCAAGTCAGGTGATAAGTATTCATTTTTACTGCACAGTTGATTTTATTTTGTGGTTTCCTATGTATGTATGTATTACGCGTACATCGTACATTATGGCGATAGGATAATATAAATAAATTATACATCTTATACAAAGAAAACATTTAATTTCCAAATAATTTAATTAAATTATCGAATTATTAAATAATAATCAATTGTTAATAATAATAAATAATTTTATTTATAATAATATTAATATTATATTATTAATAATAATTATAAGTATTATTATTATTAT